GTCGTGTCCGCCCGGCGGTGGGGGAGCTCCGGTAATACCAACGCTGTGGCCGTGGGTCGGCACCTTTCTGGCTAAAAAGCATTCTATGTTTTGGCTATGATTTGGCTAAAATTCATCTTGTTTGGCTAGTATGTTTTGGCTAAGATTTAGCTTGGAAGGCCAGTGGCGTGTTCAGGTTTTAGGTTTAGAATCTGAGTGTCTTAGTGGTATATAAACGTGTGTGATGTTTTTGGGCATACTTGACAGTCAGGATTTTGGTCAGGTCAGGTGTGGCCGTGGTGACGGTAAGGCTTGATCAGGCTTTTCAGATTGCTTGAGCAGTTCCCATCAGATGTACTGCCGTAGCACTAAATTGGTAATTATCCTTCAGACACTGTGAAACTGGGAACTTCTTGTCTTGAGAACACCACTGTAACCTGAACAGTAGTGCCATGTTTAAACATGAGTTGTTTATACTATAATTATATAGTAGAGAAGATATGAAGATAGTTATTCCTGTGTTGAGGCTTTTGTCTTTTATCTTTTTAAAAGCATTTATGTTGCTGAAGTAGGAAAAAGCCTAAGCCCACAAGTCTATGGCAGCATGGTTGTGTAAAAAGAGGTGTAATTCTGTCTCCACAACTTTTCTACCAAATAATGGAAGAAAGGTTTTGCAGAAGACTAGGCTTTATTAAAATGCAAGTATCTTTGGTAATGAGGGAGTACTAGATGTAGAAAGGAATATTTGTGTATGCTTATTTCCTGTGTGATCTTCAGCAAGGAAAAAGAATTTCAGTCATATTTCATGACCCAGTAAAGATTCTATGCATTTTCTATGCTATAAATGCTGTAAATAGGAAGAGTCTGAAACTCTTCTGCAGCATAAAGAAGAAAGCCCAGAGGAATAAGGAAAATGTTGAAGTGCTTTATACTGCTATAGGAACGATGTGAAACTTCTTACACAAAACCAGCATAAAGCAGGATGTCCTTATTTACAGCACATAAAGAAACTCAGAGGCTTCTTCTTTTCTTTGACTGAATATCTACATGTATTCCAATCCTTTGGTAGTAGATGCATCTATAAGCACATACAATTCATAAACGGGCATCTGTAGCTGAAGTTCAGTTCAGCAGAACTTCTAATCACGTTATTCTGTTTTATGTACAAACTCTCCTGCGAGTTTGTACATAAAAAGGTTCTCTCTTGTAAATTTTGAATGGCTGTTGGTTGTCTATGCAATGCAAATGCCATTAAAGCATAGCTGCCACTGCCTTTCCAGTCATTGCTGACTGTTTCAGAGAGCTCTTGACCATTGGGAAAAATCCCCAAACCCAAACAAACTCGCATAAAACTCCTTGTTTTTTTCCTGACAGTTTTTCTCGTTACGCAGCATTGTTTCCTGTCTGAATACATCACGTGTTTGTTGCCTTTCATGATTGCACAAAAGATGCAGTGGTTTGCTTCTTTACCTTTGTATCAACAAGCAGGATCTGATGTCTAGGCTGTACTCTGTTTTACTCCTTGATCTTTGGCCATCCTTTCCTGAGAAGGAAAGTTACTTCCACCAGAGAGATGATGAAGGAAACATGCTTGTAGTCACCACAGGAAGTCCTCTTTGATATTTGAAATGAGTTTCCAAGTGTTCTGATGAATGCAAGTTGACTGGGAAGGGCAGTTTTTGTGGAAACTAATTAGACTCCTTTTCTCCCCTGTCTTTGTAGAGGAATGGCTCCTTGTAGGTACCAAACAAGGGCATCTTCTGCTTTACAGGATCAAGAAAGACACAGGTAAGTTGATTTTAAGAATGGCACAAAAAGTTGATTGTTGTTTTTATTTCCTGAACTTTAAGAAGTTGTAGTGATGTTAACACAAGTATGTTTATTGCTGTTTTTTTTCCTACACAGAGTTTAATGAATATTTATGTGGCATCTTTGGTGAAAGTACACATACCATTTATCAGATATGCAAGAAATATCAGCTTTTTTTTTTCTGTTTTAAAGTATGTTTTATATCAAGTCTCCATATGTTTGAATTTATAGCAAGTCAGTGTAATTTTTGTGAATACAGTGCAGAAACATGAGCAAAAGCAGTGCAGTGTGCTAGTTGCCAGATGTTTGATGTTTGCCTTCTGTTAATGAAGGGCTGGGATTAGTGAAAGAGCAGCTTTGCTTCAGTGGGCCCATGAGCATCAAGGCATGGGGAAGAGGGATCCCTTCTAACTGGTTCTGTCACGTATTTACTCTTCTCCCTGTATCTTTGACAGTCATAAGTGTTCAGTCTATTCTAGAGATGCCACAAATAGGACTGTTCTATTTTTGGTCTAGTTAAAATCGATTTTCACTAAACACATTTGTATTTTGCCTTATCTGCTGTTACGTAGAAACTTATGTCCCTGAACACTGTAATGTCATGTAGTGTGGGACAGGAGAGAAAAAGCCAAACATCTGTTTCCAAGTTCATCAGCTCTTGGAGAGATGTTTGTAGCTACTTAGATTCTAGACACCGAATTCAGCTTGCTTTTTCTGAAACTTGTAGGCCATCTGTTCCAATCAGAGCATGCTAGTCTTGAGTTGTAGTGTCTTATCTCACATGGTAAATTTCTCCCCCTTTTTTGCATCAATGCCAGGAGAGGTTATGTCATCAGAAAGTGTCTGTAAGTCTTTATCCCTAAAACTCCTTTTAAACCCTTGTGGTAGTGTTTATTCCTTGTCTACTTTGCAGTGATGTGCTCCCTAGCAGTTTAAATTGTTCATATTTGATTGGTGTGGATAAAGTCTTTATGGGTATCTTTGTATTTCTGGGTTTCAAAATGCTTAAATGTAATTCTTGTAATGTAAAATTCCAGCTGGGCAAAAATGTAACTCTTGATGAGGCCCTTGGATGGGTACAAGAAGTGTAACTTAAGTTTTTACTTGACTTTGTAGCAGATAGCACGAATATTTTAGAAGAGTCATTCTTCTATGGTTAAATGGCCAAGTTTGCTTTCATAATTCTTTGTAGTCTCTCTAGTGTAAGGTAGAGTCATAAACCGAAGGGCAATTTCAGTTACATACTCTTTCAAATCTTTCTGGTAGGTTGCAATAGGTTTGAAGTGACGCTAGAGAAATCTAACAAGAACTTCTCAAAGAAGATCCAGCAGGTAGGAAATACCATCTTCTTGATGTGGGGACCATTTTCCAGTGTTTTCAGCCAAGAAATGAAATATCAAATGTACTTCTGGAATCTCTGCTAGACTTAACAATGAGTTTCCCTGAACCTGTAGCTTCATCTGAGGAGGCACAGCCTGGTGGTTTTGCCCACTCTTGCTGTAATAGGAATATGCTTGGTTTGGTTGCTAAAGCAGAAAGCAAAGAATTGGAGGTTACAGTTTTATTTTTGGCTTATGGAAATGCTGTTGTTTGCAGTAAATCTTCAGCTGCTTTGACTGAGAATATTTTAAAAAATATTGGTAATACACCAACAGACTGTAATACATAATTTGGCTCCTGAATAAAATGCTATAGGAATGTGAATGTAATTCCTCTTATCTGATACCTAGAACTGAAGTAACTGATTATCTACTGCCAATCTTACTACTACTTTTTTCTTTTTGAGAACTTTCACTCATTGATTATTTTGATACTCAGGAAAGCATTTCAAAGGTTATGCAGCCTGTTTCAGCAGTACTCTGCATGTCCGTTAGAAGTACTTCTGTACTAGTAACATACCACTTAAAGCATATTTTTACCAGCTTAGGTTGCAGGCTCTAAGTGCTAGCTTGTAAAAACTGAGTGTAAGTGAAAAGAGGTTGCAGTAGCTGGAGGAAGGTTGTGCATAGATAGCTGTCTTGCTGCTGTCATTATTTTTGAGAGTATCTAAGATGCATTTTCTTACGCTGTCTATAATTGAGCTGTGTTCAGAAGTTTTGTTTATGCATGGAGTCACTAATAACATTCTTTATTTCAGATTCATGTTGTTTCTCAGTTTAAAATTCTGGTCAGTCTATTAGGTAAGTGAAGAAAACATTTGAATATTTAATGAACTCTTCTTGATGCAGTTACTCTGCTGAACGTGGCACCCTTTCCACACATCTGCATAGTAGTCTAGTTGTTGAAAAGTCATTGTGTAGGATTTAGGCTTTTTCATCTTGTAGAGGAGCATTATGCAGCATAGGTTGAGAAACAGCTTTCTTGTCATAAGCCAGCTTGGATAGTAAAGTATGAACACTAAGTTTTGCGACTAAAAATGAAAAAATACATCTGTGCACTACAATATGTAGATATATAATTTGTCTGTACTGGCATGTGTGTATACACATATACATATGTGCATGTGTATGTCTGTGTACTGTATGATAGCGGCTAAAATGTTTGCTTGATGTATGTTTGACTTGTTTGATGTATGAAACTTACTGTTGATGTGTTACACTAAATTCTGTTTATATGCAGATGGTGATCTTTTACCATCTTGTGGAAGATCTTGGTTTGCTTGTATCTGGCTGTATTTGTTTAACCTTATGATCTTCCTATGTCTTTTTTTGCTTATGTTGCTACTCCCTTCTTTATGATCTCCCAAGTCCCGGCTCTTCCGCCTCCAGCATGTGTAGATTTCTGCTGCCTGCGTCCTCGTGCGTACAAAAGCTTGACCACAGTAGCTTCCATTTGCAATCGTGCACTTTCCACTAATTTCAGGAGCCAGTTCAAAATGGTCTTTGTTCATAGAGTCTTCCATCATGAACTTGCTGTACTCTGGCCTGCTTTCTGTCCCTTCCTCTCCCACTTCCTCTGCTTGGTTAGCACTTGTTCTCAGTTCCTTCATGTTATTTTACCAAAGCTGGCATTAGTCATCTTTTCTGCATTTATTGTCTTGTATTTGAATGTACTTTAGCACTTTTCAGCTTTTGGGAAAACATTCCTTTTCCTTTCTTGCAGCTCTTAGTTTCACAAGTTCTTCTTTTCATGGTAACATAAAAAGTGGTAACTTATTTGAATTAGCAGTGAGCTCTACATGTATCAAATATTGAATAATAATAATAGGATTTTTGTTTAAACCAGAAAATAACATTTATGTCCATGACCTGTTGACATTTCAACAAATCACCACGGTTTCCAAGGCAAAAGGTGCATCTCTCTTCACTTGTGATCTTCAGGTAAGGGGAGGAACACAACAGCGCACATCTTTACTGTTTGTAATGAGGATAACTTTTTTTATGTTGCTTTATAGATTATGTTTGTTAATTTTGTGTTACTTGCAACTTGGTTGGGTACTGCCATTATTTAAAATTAGTACCTACTGGATCCTGAAGCTTTGCTTAAGGCAACAATTTTTAATGTAGTTATCTTAATTTTCTTCCTGTGCTTCATAATGTATCTTCCTTTGCCTTTTGCGGTTATAGCATTTTACCTCCAGATAAAAAAAATAAAGGTATTTTTACCCTGTAGTAACTTTGACTGACTGATTTTTTTGAAAGATCCTTTTCAGTATAAAAGCCATTCCCTTCCCTTAAACCACCAGTGTACTAACTCATATTGGTTCCCATGGCCAGGCATCTCCAACCAATGTTTTTGTTACATTTTCATTTCTGTTAAACTGTATTGGCCCAAGGAGTCCCAGGGCAGTTGTGTTAGATTCAGGCCATAGAATGGTTCCATAAGGTATAGCAATTCTCGGTTCATAAGCTGTGGTTTATTAAGTAACTCATTTCTGTCCAAGTGAGTTTCTCAGCCTATCCATGTCATAATCAGAAGAGATGCCTTAGTGGTCTTCATCACTTTTTATGTCTTTGTCCCACGGGAGCTTAGTTGTAAGTATTTTCTAGTAAGTACTTAGGGTTTTCTAAGTGTTAAAACTAGTGATGTCTTTGTAATGACCAGATTTAAAGGTGCTTTCAAAGTGCCTTGTTTTTGTTTGGACAGGCACTTAGCTTTGCCAGTATTTCTTGTCAGGAAACTTTTCCAATAGGCTAGCATGTTAAGGAGCTATTAATATTTTTATTTGTCAGTATAACACAGTCTTCGCATTGTTCCATTTTCCTCCCATCTCCTATACTACATGGAGTTCAAGCTATTTATCCTAGGCTTCAGGGCTGGACTGATAGCTGTTTACTTTTCTTCTGTTTTGTGTGTGTGTGTGTCTTTGGTGCTCTTTTGTTTTTTGTTACTTTCTTGGTGTCACAATCCCTGTCAAAGTTCATTTTTAAGTATCCTATCCCCCTTCTTACTGTGCTTCCTTGTTTAGGGGATGCCCTTCTGACATGGATGAACAAAGCAGCTCTTCAGCTGACAGCTTTGCTTCAGGCTGAGGATTCTGTTGGCTTTTTATTATCTTATTTGCCTCCTAGTTTATGAGTGATTATGAGTTAGGCCTGTCTGTTTTCACAGCAGTCAGATTCAGGGGAAGAGGTGCTGAGAATGTGTGTGGCAGTGCGGAAGAAGCTACAACTTTATTTTTGGAAGGACAGAGAGTTCCATGAACTACAGGTGAGTTGTGTTGTTTCTGTAGTCATAACATGCATCAACTAGGAGTGGAGTTGCTCTTTACTGCTTGCTATGCAGTCCTTTGTACTCAGATGCACTACTGACTTTCAGAGCATTGACTCTGGGTGGTTCTGCAGTGATTTAATAATGAAGCAGAAAATAAAAATGAAAATATATGGATACAATCACAATTAACAGCATTAATAAGGTTTCATAAATTAAATCAAGAGCTGTGTTCTATATTTTAACATTCTGGTTGTAGTGCGTTTGTAGGTCAGTGAAATGTATTAGTGTGCAGCCTCTATAAATGTATGCCCGACAGTGACACTGTGGAACTGGATCCACTTCTACTCAAGGTTTTATAGGTATGTTATCAAGTCAGAAGGTGGTTACTGACAACAAGCATAGGGAACTGAATTTCTGAATATCAGAATGATAAAAATAACCAATAGAAATAGGTAGAGAATTTTTCATCTATGCTGCTTTTCTAGCAAGGTGCCAGCTAAATCAAAGCATGCTTCTTTACTGTGCACAAATCTAGTGTTTTAGTTGAATACTGCTATTCCTTGAGCAGCAGAAATCGGGCATGTATGGTGGGGAATACACTGTCAGCAACAGTGCAGCCTGTTACAGTCTCTCTTGCCAGATTTGACTTTTGCTTTTCTCTTGTAACAGCCATTTTATCCCATTTTCTCTGTTTTCCTCAGGGGGACTTCAGTGTACCTGATGTACCCAAGTCTATGGCCTGGTGTGAGAACTCAATCTGTGTAGGCTTTAAGAGGGACTATTACCTGATACGGGTAAGACTGGGGTTTGGAATACAGTGTTTAAGAAGATTTGGAGAGCTGTAGACGCTACGGGGACTGCTCTTGTGTTCAGGGTTTTAGCTAACAGACATGAAAATCAGCATCTGGTACACTTGCCATATGTAGTTTTGGAAAGGGCAGCCTAAGACTATCTTTTTAAACATGCTTAGTCAGGAAGTGATCGTCTGTTTATTGCTGTTGAAGCAAGTGTTTGAAGCTGTTGCAGAAAGCAGCATCAGAAAAGATATATTTTGGTTTGGCAACAGTCTGTGCAAGCTCAAGTGGCATTTTATTTAATGTATTAAGACAGGAGAGAGCTCTAAAAGAGGAAAAAAGAGCAATAATATTACCTGGCAAACAGTCAAGCTTAACCATTTTTTCATTCTCTTTCTGAACTGTAGTTGTTTCAGTTTGAAAATCTCTAATCTTACTGTCATTCATGTGGTATTGCAGCTTCCGCTTATGCTTTGTTTGACAGCTGTATTTGATTCTCTTTACTTGTTTTACAATTGGCTTCTGCAATATTATAGGAAAATGAGATGAAGATGAAGTGCACTGCACATGTGTAGATGTATGTACATGGGTGGAAACACTGATCTGTAGTCAACAGGAAATCTGCACAGTAACTTTTACAGTCACTTCAAACTGACACTGCTCGTGAAAGTGATGCCTTTCTGCAGTGCGCTCCTAGTTGTTGATTCCCACCGTTCTAGTGATGAGTTGTGCAGCTGCTCAAGCAGCTGTCCAAGTGTCTGCTTTGGGTTGGCTCTGATGCTTGACTTGACCCATCTTTGAATGGCCTTGTTTAAATAGGGACACTCTCCCTCCCTATGTTTTTAGGTATTGTTTTCTGCTGCGTAGCTGTTGTTTTATTATGATTTGGACATTTTTAACTGATGTTGCCACTGCGCTATGCATTTTATAAACCATGATCTATGTGCTCAGCTGTGGTTATAGTAACAGAACTACATCGTCTCAGACACAAAAGTATTAATTATTGATTTCCAAATGATGTACAAGTCAGATAAATGATGATATGCAGAAAATTTTATTGCTACTCTTTAAAATTGCGCTTGCCCTGTTAGTGAGTAGTCTGGGTTGTAAATTCCTATAGGAGGTTTTTGACTTTGGTTTTATGCAGCTTTGATATAAAGGTTATTTTGAAGTACGGCTTTGTTTGTTTTCTTTGTCATCCTAGGTGGATGGAAAAGGATCCATCAAAGAACTGTTTCCCACAGGGAAGCAGCTGGAACCATTAGTAGCTCCTGTAGCAGATGGAAAAGTTGCAGTTGGCCAAGATGATCTAACAGTTGTGCTTAATGAAGACGGGGTCTGTACTCAGAAATGTGCCTTGAATTGGACAGATATTCCTATAGCCATGGGTGAGAATTAGCAGAGAATTTTGATATTAGAGAATTTTCCGTCTTCACTTTTCTGTATATGATAAAATTGTTCCATTCCCAGTATTTGGAAATTAGCTGGTTTTGGAGTGTGAGATTTTTCTAAAGTATTTCAAGTTGTACTCTACAGAAGGCCTCAAGTTTATTTCGTTGGTTCCCCTTCCATGCTTGTAGTCTGTATGCCTGTCTCCTCAGAAAATAGGCATATTGTGTGTCTTTTATAAAGGGCCAAGATTTGAAATGTAGCATTGTAGTTCTCCTGGGCACCTGAGTGTCACAGAAATTCCTTATGTTGAAAGATGAACAAAAAGTGGTAGTCTTAGCAAATTGCTGTCAATGTTCAGTACTGGGTTTTGGTTTTAATAAGCAAAAAAGGAACATGTTTCAAGGGGGAAGGGAAACAAAAAAAAAAGGAGAAGCCTTACTAAGTCGTGGCTCGTTTTGAGGAATACTTGAGAACAATTAACTTAGATTTTTCATTCTTTTCACTAATAGAACACCAGCCTCCCTACATAATTGCTGTTCTGCCAAGGTATGTGGAGATCCGCACTTTTGAACCTCGGCTGTTGGTACAGAGTATTGAGCTGCAGAGACCACGCTTCATCACCTCTGGAGGGTATTGAGTGTAACTGATTATTACTTTTGCTGGGCTGTTTGAGTGTTTGGTAACACTCTGAAAAACCTGGAGAGGAAGAGCTTTTCTAACTCCCTTAGCTTAAGCAGTAGCATTGAAGCAGTCCGTTGTTTTTGATTAACAGATGAGTGGAGGCCATGCTTTGAGGAGTGAAGGACAGAGTTGTGTGTCTTTGGGAATTTCTGATCACCAGAGATAGATTCTTCTTTCTGCTTTGGAATACTGCTGAAGTTACCTTGTATCTGATTGTGTGTAGCCATGTGTGTATTAACCAGGATTGTTTTTTCCAGATAGGGTATTGCTTCTTTCTTAGTGCTGGAACTTAGTAACTGACCTTTTTGTCTTGTTTACAGCACAAATATTATATATGTGGCAAGTAATCACTTCGTTTGGCGGCTTATTCCGGTGTCCATAGCTACACAGATCCAGCAGCTTCTGCAGGACAAGCAATTTGAGTTGGCTTTGCAATTGGCAGTGAGTAGTCAAAAACCTTTGGGTTTGCAGCAGATGCACTTGTGCAGAAGCACGCAGAAGGATGTTTGCTTTCAGCTTGATTGTAGCTAGTCCAGAGAGTTTAATCTTCCTACTCTCCACTTGGCACAAACTGGTAAACTCTAGTCTTTTTCGAGTGAAGTTTTGGTTTTGTGCTGCCATTTCTCCATATTCATCTACTGTGGTTTAGATTTTGAGGTATTGTCTTGTATGTGAAAGATTACCTTTCACAGCTGTTCAGTTGGTTACCTTCTTTTAGAATTTGACTTCAAAGGCTGACTTTGGGCTGCTTGTAAACAGTTTTGCTCAGAGTTGTCTGTTTTGTTTTGTCAAATGATCATTGTTTTGTAATAGCCCTCTGTATTACTCCTTGAAAGTAACAATTTCATAGAGATGCTGAAGCAGATTTATTTTAATTATATTGCTCTTACTGTTTTAAGTTTTTCTGGTTTCTGGAAACTTTCCTGGAACTACATAAAATGAATTAACTGCATTTTGTATTGCTAACTTGAAAAAAATATAGAAAAGGCAAATGAGTGAAGAGATAGATGCTGTGGTAGAGTGAGTGTATAAGATAACCAGAAGTAGCTTTCAAACCTTCCATGTTATCACAGTGACACAATAAGCATAGCATCTGAGAATCACTGTCAGAGGTGTTCACTTTGGAAGATTTTCTTCTCACTCTCTCCAAAGGGTAACACGCATGTTATTTCTAGAGTTCCTTCTCATTTACAAGGCCCAGGAGTTTTTAATGTTTCTTGATTTGTATGTGTGTAGGAAATGAAAGATGATTCAGATAGTGAGAAGCGACAACAAATTCACCACATAAAGAACCTCTTTGCCTTCAACCTCTTCTGCCAAAAGCGCTTTGATGAATCCATGCAAGTTTTTGCCAAGCTTGGTACAGGTAAATGCTTGGGTTGGCATTGAAATACCTAGGTTAGGAGAAAAGAAATGAAACTCACAGACTATTTATTGTGTGGTGGGGCTTTTTTTTTTTCTGTTTTGCTTTAAAGCAGTGGTGTCTTGTGCAGACCAGTCCCCTGTGTATGACAAATAGCCTAGGCAACTATTAATGTCTTTCTTTTTTTATGTGAAACTGGTTACAGTACTTAGTCAAATTCAGTCAGTGAGTTAAATCATGAATTTCCCCTCTGTGTAGAATATATTTGTATTGTGGCCTATTACGGTGTGCATAGCATGTACACAGGTCCTTGAAGTTGAGGGTTTCAGCAGCTGCCAAAACCCTACCTGTAGCTTGGAGTGAAAAATAGGAACATTTGTAGATTGGATAAATCCTTGGACTTGACCAAACTGAGGACCTTTAACCCTGTTTCCTGTTTAATGGACCAATTTCTGAAGCCAGGAAACTTTTCTGTGGTTTTCAAGTCAAAATAGTCTCTGTTGCTATTCCTTTGGTTCATGCATTCTTCTGATAATCCTAGTATGAAGAATGGAATGTACCATAGAATAGTGCTTTAGACTGAGAGTCTTTTCTTGGTGACAGCACATCCGTTGTGCACTTAAACCTGGAACTACTAGTTGGTTTGATGACACTTAATGTCGTATTTACTTTGGGAAACTACAATGAAAGAAAAGGACTGAGAACTCAAAATACTTCGAACTTAAATTAGAGGGCAGTAATTTTGCATTTGCTTAAACTCTTTGCAAATGGGTGCTCATTAGTCACAGATGGTGCTATTCAGTTCTTGTTTGAAAAGCACAGTAAATCTTAAACATTGCTTGTTCCTAGAAATCCTGTCCTACTGTCAGAGTTGTTAGTGTTGAGATTTGGCCAGCACACAAGGTTGGAACTTGTACTTGAACATTGAGACAGTCCTTCTCTTCCTACTTTTACCTTGTTTTAGCTTCTTTTCTGTAATCAGCAAATTTTGTTACCTGGACATACAGGTTGACTACAAACAGCTCTGTTAAAAAGCTAAGCTTGCTCAAAGGAGTTTGCATACATTTAAGGAGTTTGCAAAAATAATGTTATGACTGGTTACTAATAATAGTTATTTTTTGCTTAGATCCCACTCATGTGATGGGTCTGTATCCTGACCTCCTGCCCACAGATTACAGGAAACAGCTACAGTATCCCAACCCCCTGCCAGGGCTCTCTGGGGCAGAGCTGGAGAAGGCACATTTAGCTCTGATAGACTACCTAACTCAAGTGAGTGCTCCTATATCTGTTTTTAGAGTAGGTTTATTTAGTTTTAGCATACTTTGTTGTGCAGGAGGCAGTATGCCTACTCCAGCTCTGTCATGCTAGCCTTAGTGGGCTGTCTTCATGGTTGGAAACTATGGCAGCAGCTCCTGGGAAAGCAGGGAAACTGGAAGACACAAGGTGCCCCACGGGTGTGTGGGAGACATCATGTGGGACTTTTCTGAAGACTTATGGACCAGTTGTGTATGAGTCCAGTATTTTATTTCCAGTACTCTTCTGAAGAGGACTTGAGATCTTGATCTTCAGTTTTTGTTTGATGACTATTGTGGAGAGCACCCTATCCAGGAGACAGGTCAAAAGCATGCATTAAAAGGTGAAACAGGAGGCAGTGGGTACTGTAACTTCCTGTCCCCTTTATTTCGTTGTAACTAGAATCTGAGTTGTTCTGTTATCATTCTTACTAGAGTGCTTGAAGGAGGATGGGTTTTGTGCCTAGTAGTTCAAAATCTCAGGTGTTTTCCATATGTTTTAAATGGCTCTTGACTTCTCTAAAATGTCTCTGTTCAGGTTAACAGAGTTTCCTTCTGACGATTGTCTCAAGACTCTGGACATCTTGCAGAACTATAAAATTGCAAACCAAATTTATACACTTGAATGTGATTAGAAAGGCGATGTGTTGAATAGTTAGTAACAATAAAAATTCTTTAGGAAAAAATTGATTAAAATAAATTATTGATTTGGTCTAATTTAGTATTTTTTACTTGGTGGGTTGTATTTGCTGAGGTGGGGTGGAGAAATCCATGGCCTTTTCCTGTTAAAATTTTGTTTGATGTCCTGCAGAAAAGAAGTCAGCTGGTGAAGAAGCTAAATGATTCTGACCATCAGTCTAGTACCTCACCCCTCATGGAAGGAACACCCACTATCAAATCCAAAAAGAAGCTGTTACAAATCATTGATACTACCCTGTTAAAGTGTTACCTCCATGTGAGTTTCTGCCTGACCTAGAGGCCTTTTCTTTACCATGCAAAGTCTGATGGAATTTCAGGTCGAAACATTTAAGAATGAGAATAAGGAGCTACATCAGAAATTCTCACACAACCATCTGTCTTTGGTCTAAAAATGACCTGTGAAACTTTGGTGTTAGCTAGTTTGCTTACTGTTCAGGAAGTAGTTTCATGGAATAAAGCAGATGTTTGTTTCTGGTCACTTCCTCTGTCAAAAGAAAGTGGCCATGCCTGCACGTTTTGAAGTTATCATGAGTACTTCCCATGTTGCCTTGTACTGTTAAATGCAGGAGAGTATGATCTTTGCTGTCAGCAGTGTTTTTCAAAGCTGGTCTCTATTCTTGAAGGGGAATAGCTCTGATACATTGTTTTTTTTTCTGTTCCAACAAATTATGGAAATGAAGATGGGCCGTGCTCTAAGATCATAAAAGCATAGAATGGTTTGGGTTGGAAGGGGCCTTAAAGCTCATGTAGTTCCATTCCCCCTGCACGGGCAGGGTCACCTTCTACTAGACCTGGTTGCTCAAGGCCCCGTCCAGCCTTGCCTGAAAGATATTAAGCTCATTTCTTATGCTGTGAGGCTGCTGCTTTTTTCCTCTGTTCCCCCTCCCTGCCCCCACCATGTTTTTTACTATAAGCTTAGGAAGTGTGTTTACTTACAAGTATGTTTAAGTGCTCCCTTTTCGCTTGCAGACAAATGTAGCACTGGTGGCACCATTGCTACGTCTGGAAAACAATCACTGCCATATTGAAGAGAGTGAGCATGTATTAAAGAAAGCACACAAATATAGTGAGCTGATAATACTGTATGAGAAGAAAGGTCTGCATGAGAAAGGTAGGTATGAGGTTGGGGTGGGGAGAAGGGATAGGAACGTTGAGTTTTGCCTTCAGTGAGCTGGCAGTGTTCTGAAGATTTTGTGTCTGGTTCTGTCCTGTGATTAAATCACTCTTTGTTCCTATTACCCATTTGGTTTGTGTGTTTAAAAGAAAAGTTTGTTTTGTCTCTGGTAGCATAACAGGAAGAATGCTCTTTTTTTGTGGTTTGGGTTGGAATAATACTTATGGCTACAAAGGAATGAATGTTTGCGTTGTTCTAAAAGCATTACAGGTACTGGTGGATCAATCAAAGAAAGCTAACTCACCTTTGAAGGGTCATGAGAGGACAGTGCAATATCTGCAGCATTTGGGTGAGTGTGAAGGAGAGCATTGCTTTTGTGAAGGTGTTATTCTGGTTGGGCTCAGCGGTTATTCTGCCGTTCAGCAGTTTTCTAGAGGATATCAAGCTAAAGGATATCCTTGTCATCTTGTCATAGGTCATAACTGAGAAGTTATGACCTATAATGTAGTTTCTATGCTAGTTAGTTTGAGTACTAGGGTGCTTTACTACTGGTACGAAGTATTTGGCCATTTGCTATAGAAGTCATTAGACTGGCAGGCTGAAAATGAACTGAAGGAAATTACACAGGTGAAAAAGTGCTTTTTCTACTCTAATAGAAACATTGTAAGGGAAGACTTCTGAAATGTGATTAAGACAGCTTAACTTGGTTTTGGTCTGAATTGTTTATGTTTGATGGTGCTTAGTATTTTAGCTAATTCTTGTTTCTGTTTGAAGTCATGTGTGCAAAGTAATGAAATTATGGCTCTAGCCTGGAATGTGTGATTTGCTTGACTTGAGTGGGGAAAGAAACCAAACCAGATTCTGTGAATTAAACTTTGCTGGCTCTGAAAGCATCTGCATGTGTTGTGAGTAGGTAGATCTTTAGGATTTTAACATTCAGCACTGCTGCTTTTTGTATTCCAGGCACAGAAAACTTGCACTTGGTGTTTTCCTACTCTGTCTGGGTGCTAAGAGATTTTCCTGAAGATGGACTGAAAGTAAGTGTGGTTGAAACAGGCACCTTGCCATTACGATACTTAATGCATTGTATAGAAATGGGAGAACTGAGTGTAAGAAGCCATGTATTAATGCTAAATCCAATTATAGAATCATAGAATGGTTTGGGTTGAAAAGGACCTTAAGATCACCTAGTTCCAATTCCCCTGCCATGGGCAGGACTGCCTCA